TGAAGTGCTCTACCGCTGAGCTAAGGAGGCTGTTACGAAGGATATCTGGTGTGATGCGTATATATACACTCTAGCACTGCGCTGGTCGGCCCGTTCGCCCCTGACATTGCTGCGAGCATGAATGTATGCGAAGAAGCGGAAGGTTCCGAACGCCATGATGCTCGCTGGAAGCATGGTCACACGGCTAACATGCTTGCGTTCCACTGCCCAACAGCAGCCTGGCAACGCTGAGTGATTGCACTGCTCCGAGATCGTCGGGATCGCCGACAGCAACAACCGAGACGGAAGCATCTGCGCTCGGATGCAAGGTGTCGGCTGAGGATCAGCAGAGTGACATCCTGTCGCTCGGATCGCCCGGCCGTGCGTGGATCTGGAGGCGTTCTGAAGGAATTCCGTTTGCGGCGGCCAAAAACGCTCCCGAAAACGCTGCCAAAACGTTTGGGACCGGCCTCGGCAATTCCGGCCAACTTTTGGAGGTGGTGCTGCTCCACATGCGAGTGAAGGCGAGTGAATGCGGGTGAATGCTCAGCACTGCAACTGGACAGCTAGCTGCTCCTCGCTGCTGGCTAAATGCTCTCTTATCCTTGGATACTTCCGCTCCCTCCTCCCTGCCACCATCATCGCTCCCTTATTCAGCCTTCACCAGCGCGGCCCACCATGACCGTGTCCAAGAAGCAGCCCACCGTGCCGCCTGAGCTCGACGTGCCCAATGCCGGCGGGTCGGAGCAGTTCTGGATCGACACCGACTACTCGGACAAGATGCGCTTCTGGGCCAAGCGCTTCTACCCCACTGAGGCGGGCCAGGAGGTGCAGCCCAAGTCGACGACCATCTTTGTGCACGGTTTTGTCGAGTACGTCGACCGCTACCGCAACATCTTCAAGCTGTGGCCGAGCAAGGGCCACGAGATCCTGGGCTTTGACCAGCGTGGCTGGGGCAACACCTGCCGCTCCTCGTCGGAGCCCGTCAAGAACTACGGCAACACGACGTGGCCGCAGCAGTTCCAGGATCTGGAGCACGTCATCCGCACCACGCGCCAGCGCCTCGACCAGCGATGGGGCGCCAACAAGGTGCCCATCTTCCTGCTCGGACACAGCATGGGCGGCGGCATCGTCACCGCCTTCCACACGCGCAGCGACGAATGGAAGCAACAGCACGGCGGCAACGCGCCCTCGCAGGAGGCCAAGGACATGGTCGCCGGCGTCGTCGCCTGCGCTCCCTGGCTCACGCTCACCAAGCCGCCGCCCTGGTTCGTGGTGTGGGGCGCCACCAAGATCCTCTCGCTCATCCCCGAGATGCACTGGAGCGTCGACCTGATGGGCAAAAACATCTCGCGAGACCCCGTCGTCGCCAGCAACTTTGAAAACGACCCGCTCTCGGAGAAAAAGGTGTACCTCAAGGCCATCCAGGGCCCGCTGCAGGGCGGTATGGACATTGTCGAAAAGGCGTACCAGCACTGGCCCGAGACCAAGCCGCTGCTCGCCATCCACGGAACCGCCGATCTCGTCACCAGCCACAAGGGCTCGCAGATGCTCATCGACCGCGTCAAGGCGAGCGACAAGACGCTCAAGCTCTTCGACGGCTACTACCACGACTTGCTCAACGAGCCCGGCCAGGACAAGGTCATCGTGGCGGAATACGTGATTGGGTACGTCGACCAAATCTGTTCGTACTGCTTGCCGGGCGACGCAGCTGACATGCTTCCTTTTTATTTTCTGCACAGCTGGCTCGAGAGCCACTTGTGAGAGGCGCGGCGGCGTTCATCCGACGTACACTGCTTTGGTTTCAACGAGGGTGTGCTTTGCAATCCTGTGGTTTGGTGTACGATTGCAGCTTGGATGTGAGGATCTAGACGGGGACGATGGTGTTGAGCAGTAGGCGCTCCCAGGCGCGCAGACCATCATCGTCGCGAGGGGAGCGGTAGGAGGCATCCGACTTTTCGCGCTGCATGTCGGCGATGGCGTCGGCGAATAGCTTCCACTCGATGCAGTTGCCGGGCACGATCTGCTTGGCGTCAGACTGGGCATGGGCGGGGCTCGAGTCGATGGACCATTCGCCCTGGCGCGTGCGCGTGAGCGTCTGCACATGTGCTGCCGAGCCGGCTGCGATGGCCAGGTCGTGTACAATCGAGCGCACGTACGTCCCCGACGACACGGTCATTTCGAGTACGAAAGCCGGCGGACCTGCCTCGCCCTCGGTGGAGTTCACAGCGTCCTTGGACGTGGGGAGCTTCTTCCATTCTGTGGGTTGCTCTTCCGGCTGGGTGGGATCTTCTTTGACCGTGTCTGTCTGGCCTTCTTTTCTGCCAGCCATGTCGAGTACCCTGCCGACGAGTGCTTTGTCTTCGTCGGGCACTTCGCGATCTGGTTCCTTGAACCCATGCGTGCCCGACTCGAGCCAGTCGACCAGCCTGAGTTCGTGCACCGTCACCTTTCTCGGCTCAATCGGCCTTGGCAGAGGCAGGTTGGCACGCGCGTACTCGAACAGCCTCTTGCCGTCGATGCGCACCGCCGAGTAGAGCGGTGGGATCTGCAGCACAGTCCCGGTGAATCGGGGAAGAAGATCCGCAATCGTCTGAGGCACCACGTGATCGTACGGCTTTCGGGTGAGAATAGGGTCTTGCGAATCGTAGGACGTGGTTGCTGATCCGAGCAGCCCGGTGGTGCGATACTCTTTTGTACAGTCGAGGTACTTTTGCAGCTGCTTGGTGCCGCTTCCTACACCGACGACCAGAACACCATCGGCGAGAGGGTCAAGTGTTCCGCCCTGGCCGATCTTGGGCGCTCCTGCCACTCCGCCCGCCCACTTGCCACGCCCTTTTCCCTTGCCGAACTTGCCGCGCTTGCGGTTGTCGTCTGCACGCTTGCCGTCTGCATCGGCGAAGAGCGGAGAGCTGGCGAACAGCGGCTTGAGCTCGTCCAGCAGCGACATTGATGTCGGTCCGCTCGGCTTGTTGATGCCAAAGATGCCTGAGAGTGGACGTGTGGACGTCGAGGCTGCGGCTGATGTGGCAACGCTACGCACAGCGGTACGGATCGGACCAGAGGAAGATGCGAGCATGGTGTCGCTGGTTTGCGGCGCTGATTGGGCTGGCTCGGGCTGTGAGGTTGCGTAGGTAGGGTTGATGGCGCCCTCGTTTGCGTCTGTGGGTGCGGCCGACATGGTCTGCGCAGCCCAGGAGGATAATGCTGGTGGTCGCAGCAGCAGCGGTAGCACGAGCAACAGGAAGCGCAGAAAGTGGAGAAGAGGACCCTCTCCTTCTTCTCGGCGAGAATCTTAGGCAGTATATTAGATCACCCGATCGACTGTGGTGAACGTGCCGATGGGTGGGCTTGGCCTCCACGAAGAAAAGGATGCAGCAAAAAAAAACGAGACCGCACCGCACCGCACCGCAGCCTCGACTTTCTCAGCTTTTGGCCGCCTTTCCCAGCCTTTGGAAGCCAAAAAGCGCGATCGAATCCTCGAATCCCTGTCCCTTCTCTGCTCGACACTGCTCTACTCTCACCACCACCATCACCCACATCAGTAGTCACAGGCTGCGGCCCTACCGTGTGTCTGCCAGCATGGAGTCGTGAAGCCGCATCACAATCCTCGACCGCTCCTTGCTGATACCCAGCCCCCACCCCCCACCCCCTAGTCTCACCTCGCCGGCATGTCGTCCACCGCACACTCGCCCCAAAAGATCAAGCTGTGCGAGCACGTGCTGCTCGTGCACTTTGGTCCCATCGCCGCGCGCATCGGTGCGTTGCTCCTCAAGCGAGGCCGTCTCACCATCCGCGAGATCCAGCGCTTCCTCAACCAGGCTCCCACTCGCACCAACCGCGGGCCTACCGACCCTTTTACGAATGCCTCCACCACCCACACCAAGTCCACGCTCGTCTCGGCTCCCATCGCCGGTGCCAGCACGAGCTACAACACGGGCGATCCCAACGCTCCCGTCCCCGTACCCAAACTGCTCATCGAACAGACGATCCTGACCCTCATCCAACACGGTTGCGCCTGGCACAGCTCCACCGACCCAGACGTCGCAGATCCTTCGCAGGAGTTCTTCGAGATCAACATCAACGACGTTCTGCTCCGTCCGCGCTTCGGCAGATACATTGGCATCGCAGAAGACGAGCTGGGCGACACATCGGCACGCATCGTCAAGCTCGTCCTTCAGCACGGCAAGCTCCAGGCGAGCGACATCATCGACCGCATCGCCTCCGAGATGCACACACAGCAGATCGGCTCCACTTCTGTGCCGCCAGATGCAGCGGCCAACGGCGAGCCACCAAACGGCACCGCCAATGGCTCGCACAAGCGCAAGGCCGACGACGAGCTGGCGGGTGTGCAGGCCGAGGTGGCGCGCGCGCTCACCGTCATGCTCTTCCGCACTTACATGCGCCCGAGCTCGGTGCACCAGTACGTGTCCCCGCGCGACAAGGAGATCAAGTACGAAGCCAAGCGCCGGCGCGAGCTGCGCGGCATCCCCACGCCCAAGGACCTGCAGCGCATCCGCGAAGAGGTGCGCGTCCAGATCGCCGAGGAGCGCGAGGCCGACTGGGATTTCGCCGCTACCAGCGTCAGCCTCGGGCCCGACGGCCTCGCCGCTGCCGACCATCGCGAGACACGGCGTGGCCTCGTGCGCAAGAAGCAGAGTGCGATCGCGCTCGCCAGCGCCGCGTCCAAGTCGAAGCGCTCCAAATCGTCGAGCAGCGCCAAGGACAAGAAGGCCAAGGACAAGGCCAAGGACAGGAACGGCCTCAACGGCGTGCATTCGGTCGCGGGCGCGGCGGAAGGCTTCGATCCGGCCGACGACTACGAGATTGATCCGAGCGTGTGGCTGCGCGTGCACTACGACCGGTTCGACGTGCATGTGCGCGACGAGATCATGGTCGACGCCGTGCGCGAAAAGTACAACAACACCGCCGCCGAGGTGTTCCGCCAGCTCATCCATGCGGGCGACTCGTCGATGCGGCGCTCGGTGCGCGACGTGCGCAGCGCACCCATCTCGATCACCACGCTGGCGCACAAGCTGCCCTCGGAGCTGTCGCTGCAGAAGGGCTTCGACCGGCGCTCGTTCGGCAAGGACAAGTCGGCGCTGCCTACCAGGCAGGAGTTCCTCGCCGAGTACTGCGCCATCTTTTCGCACGCCGAAGACGTCTCGGGCAAGTCCAAGACGTCGCGTCTCATGGCGCCGGCGTCGGACAGCACCACCAAGACCGCCGGCGGCAGCAAGGTGGCGTCGTCGCTCACGGTCGAGTTTGCCAATGTGGCGGAGCGCATGCGTCGCGATCTGCTGCGCAACGTGGTGGAGGACAAGTTTGGCGGGGCGGCGATTCGGATCATGAACATCCTGCGCGACAAGGGCAAGTTGGAGGAGAAGCACATCTCGAAGCTCGCCTTGGTCTCGATTTCCGAGACGCGCGATCTGTGCAGTCGGCTCTTCCATGCGTCGCTGTTGGGGCTGCAGGAGGTGCCCAAGACCAAGGATCGCGATCCGGCCAAGACGTTCTTTCTGTGGTTTGTCGACGAGGCAAAGTGCCGTGCGTGGCTGCTGGACCATCTGTACCAGAGTCTGGCGAGGATCAGTCAGAGGAGGAACGACGAGATGCGCAGACAGCTGCCGCTGCTACGCAAGGTCGAGAGGAGCGATGTCAAGCAGGATACCGTGGGGTTGCTGTCCGAGTGGGAACGCGAGAGCTGGTCGAGGCTGCAGACGGTGCTTCAGATGCTCACGGTTGCAGAGATGAGGACCGAGATGGATGTGTTCGTCATGCGCGATCTCGCAGCAGGCACCTTTGTGTCGGAAGACTAGGCCGCAATTTCACAGCGCAGACCTTTCTCTGCAAGACGCGTGACACTGTATGATCGAGTTGTTAGGTGGATGGTAGGAGTGCGGCGAGTCTAGCCTGTTGGATGCGCTGGCTTCTTTGGTGGACAGCTGCGGGGCCTAGGATGCGTAGGCGTTCATCGTGGACCTTGTGCGCTCGTTGAGCGAGTCTTGTTTTGAGCAATGACGTTCCCCCTTTCCGCTGAGTGGTGCTTCGTATCGCCTGGGTGTGTGAATGTTGTTGTGCAAGCTCGTTCATCTGTCGTTCTCGCTGCAGCTGGTCGGTTGAGAAGCGGTAGAATGCTGCTCCGCGATACCGCATCTCCTGCCGCGCATCGAACTTCTTCGCTGCAACTCGAGGCGCGGGTGTATACACAGGAAAGCTCTGCGCCGGTCCGTAGATCACAGTGCCATCCTCCTCCTCCTCTTTTTCCTCCCGGGGTAGGAGGTGGCGTGGAATTTCGCTCAGATGCGAGACACGAGTGCGACCGAATTCGTCGATGTACTCCACCATCGGATCTGCGTCGTGATCGGCGCTTTCGGGCGGCGACGATGACTGGTGCTCGTGCACTTTGCGCGTCCAGTCGATACTGCTTTCGAGCAGTGCAGCTTGGGAAACGCCTGCGTATTTGCCGGATGAGAGTTGTGCATATGTGCGTGCCTTGCGCTCCAGACTGCGCCGCACTTGATTGTGCGAAACCTCGTCATCCCGCGGCGGTGAGTGTAAGGACCGCGCTTTGGCTGCGACCTTAGGCGGCTTGGAGGAGGACGTACGGCGCGGGGCAGCGGCAGACGCCCTCGTCCGCTCCAGCTCCGCTTTCAGCCCCAGAAGCGATGCCGACATGGAAGCGCCACCCATCTTGCCATCTCCCCATGCACGCCGATGTTGGTTGCGACAAGGACACAAGTCGGTGCGCGAAATTCGTGCAATTCCATCCCTCCACTCACCAAATTTCCCCACACCCTCTCCAATCCCTCCTCACAGTAGTGTCGCACAATGCCCGGTCATCGAAGTGGTATCTTTGCATTATCCACTCACGGTCCGCCGAGCGAGGCGTCGTTGAGTGCGACGCACACGGCGGCACGGTGGTGTCCGTTGTACTGGCGCACCGTCTCGCCCGACGCCAGCTCCCACAGCCGCGCCACATGGTCCGACGACGCGGTGACGAGGTAGGCCGAGTCCGCACTGAACGCCGCATCCCACACCCAGCGCTGGTGGCCCACCAGCGTCTTTTCGAGCGCAAACTCGTAGCGCGACGTAGACCAGATCTTGACCGTCGCATCCGCCGAACACGTCGCCAAGTGTCTAACGTCGGGACTGAGCAGGACACGCGTGAGGTACTTTTCGTGCGCCTGGAACGTGGTAACCGGCTGAAGCTCTGTGAAGTCTCCTGCGGCTGCTGGCGAAGGCGGTGCGATCTGCTGGTGTGGCTCGTAGGAGCCGTTGACGAATCTCCAGACGTACACCTTGCCGGTATTGTTGCCCGCAACGAGACAGCTTCCATCCGCAGCAACGGTGACGGATCGAATAGGTACGCCTTCTTCGGGCACCAGTTCATGGCTACATCCATTCTGGCCCAAGTCCCACACTTTGACGCTGCCGTTCTGGTCGCAGCTCACGAGCTCTCCCTGGTTGGGATGCACGACAACATCGTTCACGGGACCCCTGTGATCGTATATGCGCGTGGCTCTGGATGTGCGCAGATCCCAGATCTTGAGCAGGCCATCTTCGCCGCCGGACACGAGCCACTGCATGTCGCAATGCCACGCGATGCCCGTCACGTTGCCCTGATGCCCCTCGAGCGTGGCGATGGGTTGTGCCGGAGCGCCGACATTGGCGTTGGCACCCCCACCGTTGGCGGCAGCAATGCTCGCGGGCGAGGCTATCGAGCAGTCGTACAGACGGATGTGCGTGTTGGCCGCCGCGGCGAGGAAGCGCTTGTCGGGGCTGATGGAGAGTCGGTTGACCTGCGAGTCTGGATGCTGGATGGTGCGCGAGCAGATGCCCGACCAAGCCTCCCAGAAGCGGATGGTATGGTCGTAGCCCGCGGTGACGAGCAGCACCGACAGCGCATCCTGCGGCTGGGACTGCTGTGCTGATTGGGCGGCCTGGGCTGCCTGGGCTGCCTGGGCTGCCTGGTGCTGGTGCTGCACTTCGGCGGCGTTGAGTGGTGGTGAACGGCCATGCGGCATGCGCGCGGGCGCTCTACGAGCCGCCATGGTGTCGTGGTCTGCACGCGACCGGTGTGAGCTTTACGGTGCGCGCGGATGGACGGCTCGAGATTGTGGGGATGATGAAGGTTCGAGTGCTTCGTGCGTCGACTAGGCAAAGGGTGCAGCAGGTGGAGTGGAAGCCAGGCGGAGTGGATTTGTATCGTGCGGTAGAGCCCGGGGTGGCAGCATCACGTGAAGCGAGTCGGGCGCTTTTTTCTTCCTTTGGTGATCTTTTTTCGGGCTTGCAGAGCGCGATGGCAGTTTGGTCATCCGAGCTGAGCCCCTCTAGCCCAAAGGAGCCAAAGGAGCCAAAGGAGCCA